TATATAACATATATATATATATAATATATATATATATATATAATATATATATATATATATATATATATATATATAATATATGTAACATATTGTGACCAACCATGTCCTAGATTTACTAACAGAATTACTCCCTATCATTGTGTAAACACATTTAATTTCTTATCTTTAATTCTTGTGTTTGTCATTCATTGGAGACCGAATTTCATCTCGGAATCCACAACAAAAACTATCACTGATCCTCATATACCATCAAGCTATGCAGAAAACAACCACGATTCAAAACCTTTATCTGGCATTAATTAACCTTGTAGTAGTGGAAGGCCTATGAAGAAGAAGCCATAGCAAACCGATCCTCAGTAAATTTTTCTTAGTAACTGCTTGCGATTTAGTGGCTTTATCGCCTTTCTCAGGGTAACATGATTTTAAAGAAAAATAAAGAAGCTAAATTCAACGTATAAAAAAAACCTGTCGTAGAACGATCATTAGTGAGTAGGCCTAGAAATTTAAGGATTATCAGCGCGGGAAAATGTAATGGGCGAGCCGATTTCAAATTCCGATCAAGTATTTGTGTTCATTTTCGAACATACCTGAATTCATGTCTTCTCCCACCCATCAGCAGCTTAGACTGGGACACAGGCCTTGGTTGGCATCCAGTCTAGAAGAAGTACAGGGAGAACTCTATTGTCTTTCACGAGTAGTCATGTCGCATTCAGACATGATAAAGAAAAAAATCTACGCCCTGGAAAGATGTGGCATTAAAAATAACCTGGGCAAGGAAATAACACACGACAGAAAGTGTAACAAATAAATCGACAGGCGGCAAAGAATAACGAAACATCCTCCCAGAAACAAAGCCATGGAAAACGTTTTTTAGAAACAAAGAAAAGATGAGTTTTCCTGCCACTTATCACGCAGCTCTTTGATAACGTTTCAGTAAAATCACACAGGTTCTGACATAAGGGAAAAAAATGCTTTTGCCGAACTTTAGAATCTGGTTTTCATTACAGAAAGTTCACCGGCTGACAGCGTTTTACAGCAATCGAAAAAGGTAACAACCGGTTTATACAAGGTCAGTTGAAGATGACGGGTATGGTAGAAAAGAATGCCAAATAATGCAAAAATAACACAGGACAAAAAAATTGGATAGAGAACAACATTTATCATTTACTCCACGGTGTACGCTACCACAGCCATAGTACTTAGGATGATATATTGGTTACTATTATTGGTTTCCATAAAATGGAATTATAAATCAAGCTGATAATTAGTCCAAGTAACTGGATTTTATTTACCAGATTTAATTGATTACTTGAAATCTACAAGGGCAGACGGGTACATCACGTTGAAACATCGCTCCAGTACGATCACCGAAGTTAAGCAACGTCGATCAGTACCTAGATGGGTAATCGCTTGGGAATACCACGTGCTGTAAGCTTGGACGGTATAACCAAGTGGTACCATGGCTCAGAATTGTTAATCGGAGAGCCAAGTTCAAATTCCAGCTGGGTTCGTTATATTCAACTTACGCGCAAATACCTTTGGAAAAGGTATGAATCCAACCTCTTCATCTCCCGCAACTATGGGTTAAATAGTAAGGCTTGTATTAATAAATCATGATTATCTAAAAAAAAGAAAAGAAATATTACAATGTAAAAACATAATCTGACTTTAAATAACCTACAAAGGGTTGATAAACCGTAAAAAACGAATCAATCAATCAAGTCTACACATTATTGGTCATTATGCCGAATCTGTAAACGTGGCCAGTGTATTAGGTTAGCAAACCTTTGATTTTAAGTATGTCACTGAAAGGGAGATGAATTTGATCCAGCCAAAAATATGCAATCAATAGTAGAAGATATTTTAGCTAATGTAGACTGAGGTCGAGCACTTCGACATGGTGTAATGGTTAACAAGCTTGTTTCGCTAGACCAATTCCAAGCGAGTAATGAGTTCCGTTCTCTCTGGGTGCCTCATACTTTCGGACGATTTGCCAAGTCTAAGCTGCTCTTAGAAAACCGCCATATATAGATTGATATAACCGTCTTGTATAAGCCCGCACGTCTTTCCGCCTCGTTCAGTTGATCGATTATTTCAGATCTCTTAACATATAATTTATCCATTAATCGTTCAGTAGCGAAAGTCAAAATAGGCTCACGTCCGGTACATAGAGAGGACACTAAATAGTACATCCGCCAGTACTTTTAATCGTGAAACCTTTGAGTGATTCTGGTACCGCCTGGATAATGATTGACACTATGCCATTTTGTGGAAAGCGAGCAGAATCATCACATGACCTTGATGAATAATCAAAATCTCTTTTCATATGGCAAATAATTAAAATTCATTTTTTATTAGAATCTTCGAAGTATAGAATTATAATTAATATACACTGACTCATCCGGTATAAATTCGCCTTCCTATTTGTTATGTTAACATCATTTCGGTCATTGTATTCGCCGGCCTTCTTCAGGTGCCTGTCATAGTTTTGTAACATTCTGAAAATATGGAACCAATCCTTTTATTCAATCGAAGAGGCTAGGTTGTTTTCATTCCTCTGTCTGTGAGAAGCTGCCTTGTATCAGTTAATTATCTCCATCCCCGTATTGTCATTTGGTAGCGTTGCGGTTATTGGCATAAAAACTGGAATCGGGGTGCCAAGTTCGAATTTCGTTCACCTTCGCTTAAACACCTTTTCTTTTCTTTTTTTTTTTTTTTTTTTTTTTTGTAACGGAACTACTTCATCTATTCTTCCTCCCTCCCAGCTCCGGGTTAAATAATTTGTCTAGCTTTGGTTGAAACCAGTCTAGGTGAAGGCCAACTCTGAATTTAGGAAACGTTGAACGTTGAACTGACAACTTGACTCCACTCCATCAAAACCGACTTGCTACAGAAACCACAGCAGTCCCGAGTGTAATGAGGCTGTGGCTTTATTCTCCACAGGAGAATCGTGAGGAGGTGTAATTTGACTCTTCCATTTAACCAGAGTATCTGACTTTATTTGTCTGAACTGGCGATCAATTCATGGCTTTACATGTCAATAAAGTGAGACATTAACAGTAAGGTGTAGAGGCCACGGGTTATTTGGTGAAGCTGTAAAGACATATGATCTCACATCTTTAAGGAATATGTCAAATTGAAAGAAAGAAATAGACAAAGAGTTAAAAATTATGGATATTAGGTTTTAGTGATAACTAACGAAAAAAAGGCTAAAATCTATCAATATTCAAAGGGCAATCAGATGTTACTTTCCTAATGACTCACATGTGCACTAATCGAGGATTATGTATACACTTATCGAATTTTGGTATATAAAATTTTAGCGCACTAATCGAAAATGCATGAATCAAATTCGTATTAATCGAGGTATACCTGTATTCAAAAATTGGAATATTAAACCCATAGTAAAAATAAAATAACTTTTATGATTATTAGATTTGGATTACGTTGACGAATAAGAGATCATACCAGCTTATATATGTGAATGATTTCTAAAGAATTCATGGCTTTATTTTTAATCAAACATTTTTATTAGAATAACGTTTGAAGTAATATATGAACAATTCAACTCGAACATTTGAATAATGTATCTAAATACGAATTAGCTAGGCGGCATAATATATTATTTCATCTTAAATAAATCAACGGTGTTTTGCAGACATTTTTAACGTCAACATGAGATTTGATAAAAACTCGAATGCAGCAGTTCACAAATAAGTACACTCTATTCAGTTTCTTTATAAAAAGTTAATTTTCTACCCACATAAGACAAGTCCGTTGACTAGTATCTACGAGTTATAATTATTCTCGGATTTCTTCAGAGGCACGGACAAACTCCTGTTTTGTTTTGTTGTTTTTCCTCAGAAATACACTTGAAAACTGCCTTCTCAGTGATTACAAGTGATACTCCAACACCTTTTCTTACAAAACTCAATTTTCCCTATCAATTGTTTCCACGTTTGACTCTTAATTCTAATTACGAAAGACATAAAGCTTAAAGTGCAAAGTAGGTCAAAACCTCTTCAGTTTATTTTTCGTGCTTTAATGACAATAGATTTTAAAATAGCTAAAATCTTTGCTCCGAAAACTCAATTCTCTTTTTACAATTGTTTTCATGTTTGACCCTTAACTCCAATTCTTAAACTAAACAGTTAATGTTTTCCTAATTTGTTGAGGTTACTTTTAAAACGGTTAAATGTTGTCTATTTATCAACATATGATAATAGCGTCCTTTCTTCGCGTTCATTGAGCAAATTATGCAAGGTGGATTTTACCCCAAACATTTTGAAGGCAAATACAAAAGTGTTCAGTCAATATTACTGGAGATGAATAAAAAGCTTTAATTTGTTCCATGAAATGCGCATATTTGTATCTTGTTTTATTGGCTGGTGTACAGTCATCGGTGGTTTTTGTATGAGTGTATGAAATATTCAGGTTAGCACACTTGTCCACCTTATTCGCGGTTTCGTTCCTGCGGTTTCACTAAACCGCGATCAACCTAAAAAATAATTAATACCTTTGGTGATACATCAAAGTGCAATTCAGATATGCTAAAGGGAAGACATAAATTTCTTCCTTTAGATGGAATCATCTATGTTTTCGAGATAATAAGGAAAGAAAAAATGCATACTGAGCTTGGTAAGATCTAAGACAAGGCAACTACTTCTATCTGTCTCATGACAATACCAGTTCCCGTAGCATCACCGAAGTTAAGCAACGTTGTGCTTTGACAGATGGGTGACCGCTTGGGAATACCAGGTGATGTAAGCTTGGGTGTGGTTGGTGGGGTAACGGACAGTGGCTCGGGATTGTTAATCGGAGAGCCGAGTTCCAATTCCAGAATAAGTTTGCTATATATACTTAGGCGAAAATACGCTTGGAAAAAGTATGAATCTACTTATTCTCCCTCCAGCTATGGGTTAATTAGCATGATTTGTATCATTAAACAATTATTATCTATAAAAAAAATGTTACAATGTAAAAAACTCTTCTGTCTGATA